AAGCTCATCATCATCACCGGTCATTAGAGAAATGCAAATCAAAACTGCACTGAGATGTCATCTCATGCCAGTTAGAATGGCAATCATTAAAAAATCTGGAGACAACAGATGCTGGAGAGGATGTGGAGAAATAAGAATGCTATTACATTGTTGGAGTGTAAATTAGTTCAACAATTGTGGAAGACAGTGTGGCGATTCCTCAAGGATCTACAAATAGAAGTACCATTTGACCTAGCAATCCCATTACTGGGTATATATCCAAAGGATTATATATCATTCTATTATAAAGACCTGTGCACATGTATTTTTATTGCAGCACTGTTTACAATAGCAGAGACTTGGAATCAACCCAAATGCCCATCAGTGATAAGACTGGATAAAGAAAATGTGGCAAATATACACCATGGAATACTATGCAATCATAAAAATGGATGAGTTCATGTCCTTTGTAGGGACATTAATGAATCTGGAAACTATCATTCTCAGCAAACTGACACAAGAACAGAAAACCGAACACTGCATGTTCTTACTCACAAGTGGGTGTTGAACAATGAGAACATATGGAACATAGGGAGTGGAACATCACACACCGGGGCCTGTTGGGGCTTCGGGGGCCTGGAGAAGGGATAGCAGGGGGTAGGGGGATTGGGGAAGGATAACGTTAGGAGAAATATCTAATGTAGATGATGGGGGGATAGATGCAGCAAACCACTGTGGCATGTGTATACCTATGTAACAAAACTGCACATTCTGAAGTTAAAGTATAATAATAATAATAAAAAGTTAAACCAAAACTTTAAAAAAGAAAAGAGTAGATCTGGGATTTTTTTAAATAGAAGACTGAGGGTACTATAAAAGTTTATAGTTGTAATTGATAGAAGGAAGTAATGCAAACCTTAAATGTCAGAAGAACCACGGATACACAACTACAAAGAAGAAAGACACAAATTGTTGAACAATCCTTTAAAATCTTTAAAACATGGAAAGTGCAATAAAAACCACAAGACAGAAACAATCTCAAGTATATATGTAATATGAATAAATGTCAAAGAACTAAAACATATCTATTGTTTTTAAAAATAAGGTTTTCAGATTGTATCATATAGCAAAATCCAATTATAGGCTCTATACAAGTGATACTAAAACTAAGTGTTTGGAAAGGTTAAAAATGAAAAACACAGTTAGATTCAAGCCAGACAGCATTAAACTAGACAAGAGTAGACTTTATGAACTTAAAAGGCACAATTCACAAAAAGCGAATTAAAGGAGTAGTGCTTTGGTAACTAATTAGATTTTATTTAGAGTGACCCTGTATTCTAGCTTACCATGGATAATTCATGTCTGTTGTCCTGGTTTAATTATTTATAGAATATTCCTTCATACTTAAAGTATACAGGTTTAGATGTTAAATCACATGGTCATTTTCGGCTCATTCCAGGAATGCAAGGATGATTCCATATCAGAAAACATATTCACATGAATACATATCAAGTTTTAGCATTTTGCCATCAGCTTCATAAGCGTGTCATGCTGTATCATATCCTTTGTATTGTATCTTATATGTCTCTGCTTTTCAGCACTCACTTTCTTTGGCTCATTGTATCACAGCTGTGATATATGTTCCTTTCACAGGGTCCCCTAAAAGGCTTTCTGGAAGATTTAGGCAGACTGCAAAAGAAGTTCTATGCCAAAAATGAACGGTTACTTTGTCCTATCAGGACCTACCTGGTTACAGCTAGGAGTGCAGCCAGTTCAGGCGCCCGTGTGCTGAAGACCCTTCGACGCTGGGGTCTAGAGATAGACGAAGCTCTTTTCCTTGCTGGAGCCCCCAAAAGTCCCATCTTGGTGAAGATCCGGCCCCACATCTTCTTTGATGACCACATGTTCCACATTGAAGGGGCACCGAAGTTAGGTCCCGTCGCAGCTTATGGCTTTAATAAAAAGTTCAGTACTTAGAGACAGGGAAGAGAAATAAAGTGGTGACAGTCTGGTATTACAGAAGCCACTTCTTTTGGCTCTCTAGGATAATTATATAGGTATTTCAGAATATTGACCCTTAAAACTTAGCTTCTTTGGAAAGGTTTTCTTTTGATTTTTTGGAAAACCTTTTGAACCCTTAAGTTATGATCAAACTACTTCTCTTTGAACTACCAATACTGCTGAATGCCATTGCACCTAACTCTGTGTAAGTCATAATGATGGCTCTTTACAGTAAGTTTAGAACTTGAATATTTGCATGCTTAAGGGACTGTTTTAGAAGCTTACTTAGTTTCATAAAGCACTGCTCATTTTTGGATGTTTGTAGATAACAATGAATTGTTACCCCTCAGCATTGTAGAGTAGTGTCTTCAAAGGGAGAATGAGTATGGTTAAGCACACTCTTGAAAACTGGAGCTTTGTATTCTGTGACCACCATGTCCACCTTTTTAACCAATGCAAAATGAGGATTTCACTCTACCTGCATGAGTATAACAATTTTGATACTGCTCATTTAGAAATAAATCAGGTGATTGTTCCTCCAGGATACTTTGTAAGACAAGCCTTAAACAGAACCTCCTGAGAAGGGTTCTCTGTAAATTACTTGGTGGATTAAATGCCTCTGGTTCACAGAGTTTCATATATTTAAAGTCTCTGGCTTTGGGCCTGGCAGGGTGGCCTATCCATAGTTGTATGGGTTAAAAAAAAAAAAAAAAAAAAAAGACTCTACCACTTTAAAATGTGACTGAAGTGTAGTATCCTGGCCTTTCATTGTCATTCTCTTTTGATTTTTGTTTTGTTTTTCAACAATTAGTTGATCATTAAATATATCATATGTTAGGCACAGTGACCTGGTTATTTTCACATGTTACTTCATTTTCTTATCAAATTAAATGTTTGTGACATAGTATCATTATTATCTTCCTTTTTATCAATGAGAAGCCTAAGATTCAAAAAGATTAGATAGCTTGTCTAAGGATATGGAACTGAGTGTTAAGACTAATTAGATTCAAATTCAAATCTTCAAAAGTTATAATGATGTCTCTTTCCTTCCTTCTAAATAGAGTTATTACCCATCTGGTACAGATTAATCATTTCATGAAGTTCCATGCGCAAACCACACAGCAGTTACACTGCAGGTCTAAGGATTCCTCCTCCCTCTATTCCTCATACTCTCTCCTACTCTACCTCCACCTTCATCTCTATTCCACCTGTACATATGTATTCCACTCCTGACTCTAGTTGAGAAGATCACAGCTGAAACACATCTTCTGATGCTCCCTAATTTGATGTAAACCAGTCCAAACTCTATCAGTTGTGACTACGACACTTACTGAGTACCTACCATTTTCTAGGTGTCCTCCCATGTGAAGACCACAAGAGATACACAGGCATAACCCTGTCTTCTAGGAAACTTAAAACCTTAACAATCTGGTCAAGGAAGTCAAATGTACATACTCAAACAGCCAACACCAGAAGGCTGTTTGTCCTCAGTGCCAGTGAGGGTCACACATGAGGTGAAGGGAGCAGAGATCTTTATAGGCCCGAAGTGGTCAGGAAAGGACTTGAAGTAGCCTTTGACTTTAATGGATGGGCAAGATGTGGATGGGTAGAAAGGAAGAGAAAGAAGAAACACATACCCTGGGGATCATTGAGTTTGAGTAGCAACTTCAAATTGGGGATAGGGTGGAGTAGGACCATCTCTCATGATTCCTATTCCTGGTGCCTTGTCTAATCCCCAGTAAGAGTGCTCTTTCCCACCTCTGAGCTCCATTCTCATTATTCATAAGAAACCTCCTGGAATCCATCCCTCTCTCTTGTTTTATGACTCTTAGTTGCATGTTACATGCTTTCCAAAGGTAAGGGAGTGGAAGATGGATTATCACAATTATGTAGGGAGTCTGTTTCAAACTACGTAAGCTGTGGCTCTTTTTCCTTATCTGAAGAACCTGCAATGGGTGGAGGATGGGAAGTGGGAGATCACAGTTCCAGAAAGTAAGCACCCTGAGAGCAAAAATGGTGTCCCATTTTTCTGTAGCTCTAACAGGGAACAGGCAGGGCCAGGCATATGCTGGAGAGAGAGGCAGATAAACGAATGAGCCTTTAAAAGTAGCTTGAAGATGGGTCCCTGTGGCACTAACCCTGATATTAATGAGGCCTTTTACAGTGAACCACGCACTGTGCTTTCCACAGCTATGTGTAATCGTTCCATGGAGAGGGCAGGGAAGCATTTGTAAATGGGCCTGCTCAGAAGCCTATATTTACAGTAAGTCCAAGCTTCTCCCACTGTACCTCTGCCAGTGTCAAGATCATTTGAGGATGAGTTTCTTTTTTTTTTTTTTAAAGAGACCAATGTCATAATGTCTTCTTCAGTGATCTCAAAGTGTGGTTCCCAGATCTGCAGAAGCAGCAGCTCCTGGGAACTTGTTAGAAGTGCCAATTCTCAGGCCCCATCCTGCACCTATTGAATTAGAAGTCCTAATACTGAGGCCCAGGTGTTTTTTGTTTCCGTTTTCATTACCCCACCTCGAACCCTCACCCCAAGTCCTCCAGGTGATTCCGATGTGCGTTAAAGTTTGAGAACTACTCGCCCATTCTATTTCCAACTGATTCATGTTGCTAAATTCTTTGTCTTATCCATGAAAAACAGGCCTACCTCAGACTTCCTCTGGGCAGGGACCCTTCTCCAGAAGGTGAGTTGAACTGAATTTACAAGTCCCAGGAGCCCTTAACGGAAAACACAAAACGCCCTGAAGAGTGGCGTTTGTAACAGGGCCTGTACGGATATCTGTAATTCAAAGTACTCATCAGGCACTGCCACGGCGAAGGCCGCCCCTACTCCGGGGTTTCAGTACGGATGAACCTCGGCAGCCTGAACCCGGTACTGTGTACCCAGTCTCCACCATTAGGCTGGGAGGAGGTTCCCCAGAGGGCGCAGGACTCCAGGCGCTGAACTCTCCAAACCAATCAGGAGCCCTCAGAGGGAAACTACAAGTCCCAGTATGCTCCACGCGCACCGTCAGGGGCCGACTCGTCGTGCCCCAGAGTTCTCCGCGTACAGGTGGCCGCCTGGATTCCGGGAAGGCGGCGGCGCCGGCCTTCCTGCGGAGGGGCCGGTGGGCCTTCGGGCCGGGCGGTTGATGGCAGTTGCCATCGCGGCGGCTGTACTGGCCGCCCTGGGCGGGGCGCTGTGGCTGGCGGCCCGGCGGTTCGTAGGGTCCGGGGTCCAGAGGCTGCGCAGAGGCGGGGATCCCGGCCTCATGCACGGGAAGACAGTGCTAATCACTGGGGCGAACAGCGGCCTGGGCCGTGCTACGGCCGCCGAGCTGCTACGGCTGGGAGCGCGGGTGATCATGGGCTGCCGGGACCGCGCGCGCGCTGAGGAGGCGGCGGGTCAGCTCCGCCGCGAGCTCAGCCAGGCCTCGGAGTACGGCCCGGAGCCCGGCGTCGGCGGGGCGGGCGAGCTCGTAGTGCGGGAGCTGGACCTCGCCTCGCTGCGCTCGGTGCGCGCCTTCTGCCAGGAGATGCTCCAGGTGTGGGCCTCGGGTGGTGGGGGGCCGGGCTGGGGAGAAGGGCCCGGGAGCGGGGTGGGAGGGGCGTGCGGACCGCGGCTGAGCCGGGAGGGACCGCCCTGGGGTTCGGGGTGTGACCTTGGGGACCGCTGAGGCAGCGCGGAGTCCAAAAGCCACTTCGAGGCGGCTGGGAAGCTGTAGGGTTCAGAAGGAAAGAGGAGCTAACTGGGAAGGATGTCGAGAAAGAAATGGGCCCAAGAGAAAAATAAATATAAACCAGTTTCTGAACATTTCATTTCGTTATGTGAGGACCGCCCCGGAGATAGATCCATGGCCTCCGGATTGTTTCTCCTGTGTCAGAAGTGAATCTGCACCGAGCTGTGCCTCTAGAACCCAGAGCACTGGGACAAGTAGCTAGCCAAGAACCTCAGATCAGTCCTTAGAAAAATATTCCTCCCTCCCCTAGCCTCTGCCCCTTTTCTGCTGGGAAAGGGAGCTCGCTGCTTCCAGTAAACTCAGCACCATCCTTAACGGGACTCTGGTCTGATTTCCAGGTAGAATAGAGCTTGGAACCCAGTGGTCATGCTCCAGACAGGGACAGGAATAAAAATAATGTAATACCCAGCATTTATTGAAGATCTGTATGCCAGGAGCTTTGCCAAACATTTCAGATCTTCCTTTTCGTTTTAAATGAAAATAAAGTGTCCTTGCCTATAACTGTCATTGAAGCTATACAGTAACCTTGTGGAGTAGGCATTATTATCTCCATTTTACAACTCGAAGAAACTGAGGCATAGGAAGGCTAAGCAACTTGCTTGTGGTCTGTCTCCAGAACACTTGCTCTTAACCCCGTTCTTTCCTCCTGCTGTCTGGTAGGGAGGTATGAGGATTTGTTTGTGCAAATGGTAAGTGAGTCCACGTTTAAGTGAATGCTCTCTGTTGAGAGTGAGGTAGAAGGGTTTCTTGCAGGGGTAACTAGCATTCAGAGGTCATTTGTTCAGAAGAGTGAAATTTAAAATTATCTGGGACAAGAAGGGTGCCTGTATGACATGGAGTCTCTTGAATCTAGAGAACAGGTTCCCAAGTTTTCTCAGTAATTTTTTCATGATGCCCTTAGGCCAGAAGTATTTCCCAGTTCATTTATTAAGTAGTTAAGTCCAAACAACTGTAAAATGAAACGTTTCTGATATAGGTCTCAATCGATTTACAAAGTTTATTTTGCCAAGGTTAAGGATGCACCCGTGACAGAACTTCAGGAGGTCCTGAGTACGTGTGCCCAGGGTGGTCACGGCATAGCTTGGCTTTATACATTTTAGGAAGACATCAAATTTGTAAGATGTACATTGGTTCTCCTGGAAAAGTGGGACAACTCGAAGTGGGGGCTTCCAGGTCATAGGTAGATGAGAGATAAAAAGTTAGTCTTTGATCAGCCTTTTACTGAATGCACGATTTATATGTGCAGGGGGGATAGAGGAATAATCACTTACGTCTTAGACTGGCTCAGTGAGTTTGTATTTTCACAAAAACAGAAGACTAGAGGCAGCAATCAGGTTTGTCTCAGGTGAACAAAGGGATGACTTTTGAGTTCTTTTATTTGGTACTTGTGAAGATGAGCTATCAGTTTATTAATAGATTGCCAGGGTGAAATTCAACAGAACTGTTTTAGGGTAAGGATCTTGAGGAGGCCCATATGGGCCAATTGTGAGGGTGGTATGTAGCTTCTTTAATTTTGTAGCTATCTTAGGAATAAAATGGGAAGCAGGTTTGTCTGAATCAGTTCCCAGCTTGACTTTAACCTTCGCCTTTGTGATTTTGGGCTTTGAGATTTCTTTTCCTTTCACACAACCTAATAAGTAGTTATGTCCTAACAACTTAGTAGCTGTTTGAGAAAATAACATATACTTGAAAGAAAAAATTATTATTTTATTATTAAACAGCCATAATTACTAACAGGAAATGTATGCCTGTCGGTCACTGCACCACTGTCTGAAACCTTGGAATCAGATTGGACACTGCCACCCTCATTTCCTGTTCTGGGTAGATTTTTAGCATTGTTCTTGTTTTTTATTACAGCAACTGCTAACAGCTGCTTAAATGTCAGCTCTACAAAGAAATAATATCATCGAAAGGAATATAGCACAATATAACGTTGAAGCCGTGAACCACATGTAGCTAGTAGTTTTTGAGGTATTGAGCAAAGTATCAGTGTTTTTCTCAAAAATTAAAATATTCCACAACACGCTGAGAGTTTGCTGCAATGCTGTAGGGCACAGTTTGGGAGTTGTTGCAGAACTACAGACTTGGCTTTTTGTTTTTTTATTGTTAGTATTTCATTATTGTGTAACACAGGTTAAATAATACTCATCTATGAGATTTTGAAGCATTAAAAATGGGTCTTTCTGTTCTTCATTAAAATATAGATGGGGCTGGGTGTGCTTCTTTGGCACTTGAGGCAGAACTAATTAAAAAGTGAGGATACAAAGCGATAACTAAGTTGTCCTTGCTTCTGAGTATTTCTGTTCCTGCCTGGCTCTGAAGTTAAGTGACTGTAATTAGAATGAAAAAAAAAAAAAAATGGAGATGTAGATTTCCCACAGGTTGGTATTCTTGGTATTTATGTAATTTATCTCCTATAATTTAAAAAATAGTAAATGATAAAATTTTAAAATAACACAAGTCCAGAAAAGAATGATAGCTAAAAAATGATTAATTCAGGAAACTCTTCCAAACGATTAATAAAAAACAACACTCCTTTCTTTTTCCCATGAGTGAACTCTTGCCTTCTTTTTGAAGTTGACTGTTGGAAAACCCAAAGATGTTTAAACAGGCCAGAATGAGAAATAGTTAATCCTCTGACAGGTGGGCTTTGATAACAGTTGTGAAATGTAACACATTTTTCTTTTTACTTACACTTGGCAGAAGGGCCAGTGAAATTTGAAATTTGACCTCAAATTAATCGTGGGTCATCACAGTGTCTTTACACTTGGAACATGTAGTACATTGCTTTGTCCATCAAAAGAAACAGAACAACGGAGAAAAGGCTAGAGAAGACCATCTGATGTGATTTGGTGAATGAAAAGACTTCCCTATGGGCAGTCTAAATGTTAAGACTTTAATCTGGAACGATACAGAAGCATATGGTCAAAGTATAAAATATTGACTGTACAGATCTCCTAAATTAGAGTCCTCCTTATGTAGGATATTTATTACCTATTTAATTTTTTCTTAATCTTTGATGATTCTTTATAAATATCGATTTATTCATGATGTTCTCTCCAGCGTTAAGTTTGCATTTCTGACCTTTTCTATTGCTTTTTCAGTTTTAACGACATGACTTGAAGTTGTTCCATCCCCATGGTGCCATTTACCCCAAGAGAACTATAGAATAATGCAACCATAAGTTTGCCCTTGGTGTTGATAACCAGTAGCTCTGGGAATAAACTATGCTTACCTGTCTTCTGCTGTATATGGTCTGTCTAGCTTACCTTGCCTCTCTAGCTGTTTTGAAAATCCCAATTAGAAAGCCATGCTAGCTTACTGATTATGAAAATAGGCCTTGATGTCAAAGACTTCATCTTCAGATCTGATCTTATTTTGCTGCTTAGGAGTGCTGATACTGGGCGAGTCACGTAGCCTCTGAGCTTCATTTGCTTATAGAGTTGTTGGAATTAGATGTGGTAACATGTGAAAAGCGCAGGCCCCTATCAAGCTTCTGCATCTTTTTTTTTTTTTCTTATTTCTCTCAATTATTGAAAGCTCGTAGAAGCATTTTACAGAATTTTAGTAGTCTGCACGAATTTTTAAACATTTTATCATAGATACAATTATTATAATTTTGATATGATCTCAGTATTATCCTGATAATTCCCAAATTGATATTTTCCTAGTTCATTTGAAATTAAGGGGAAAAATACAGGATTATAGGAGCGCCTTGTCCTCAGATTGACTGTATTTCTGTTTTAAGAAAGATCTTAGTACTAATCACTTAGTCAACTTTCTAGTGCAAGGGTAAAGTTTATATATTTGTAAATATTATTGTTATAAAAACGTATAACTAGAAATTAAGTCTTAGATCTAGTTTCTACATCCTTTATTGGAAGATTACTGTGGATAAATACCTTTCAGTATATCATTTTAGTAAATGAGAAAAAAGCTATTGAATGAAAAATCATGAATATCAGTATTGATCTGAGGAACATCTTGCAGAGGAATCCCTTCCCCCATTAATTAAAAACAAAATTGCCAGTGTTTTCAAGTAGTTCTAGACCAACAACTGAAATTAAATGCTTTTAGTCTCAAGTTCTCAATTTTATTAAAATCTTATTACCATGAAGAGAAAAAGCGATACAAGGTGTATGTCTTAATTCTACTATTCTCTTTGACATTTAAAGGAAGAGCCTAGGCTGGATGTCTTGATCAATAATGCAGGGATCTTCCAGTGCCCTTACATGAAGACTGAAGATGGGTTTGAGATGCAGTTCGGAGTGAACCATCTGGGGCACTTTCTACTCACCAATCTTCTCCTTGGACTCCTCAAAAGTTCAGCTCCCAGCAGGATTGTGGTAGTTTCTTCCAAACTTTATAAATATGGAGATATCAACTTTGATGACTTAAACAGTGAACAAAGCTATAATAAAAGCTTTTGTTATAGCCGGAGCAAACTGGCTAACATTCTTTTTACCAGGGAACTAGCCCGTCGCTTAGAAGGCACAAATGTCACCGTCAATGTGTTGCATCCTGGTATTGTACGGACGAATCTGGGGAGGCACATACATATTCCACTGTTGGTCAAACCACTCTTCAATTTGGTATCATGGGCTTTTTTCAAAACTCCAGTAGAAGGTGCCCAGACTTCCATTTATTTGGCCTCTTCACCTGAGGTAGAAGGAGTGTCGGGAAGATACTTTGGTGATTGTAAAGAGGAAGAACTATTGCCCAAAGCTATGGATGAATCTGTTGCAAGAAAACTCTGGGATATCAGTGAAGTGATGGTTGGCATACTAAAATAAGAAAAAGCAGTAAAAGAGCTATTTATAAAACTGCATATCAGTTATATCTGTGATCAGAAATGGTGTGGCTTGAGTACTTGTTACTTGAAGAAAAAGAATTTTGGTATTGCGATAGTACTGCCAAGCGGTACATGTGAATATTTTTGAGTTATTGAAAAATTATTTTTGGGATAAAATTTGAGCAAAGATGTTTTAAATATATAGTAAATATAATGAATAATAAGTATAATGGAAAATATATTGTAAAATTATAACTGGGTAAGCATGGATGGCAAATATTAATATTTATCAGAATTAAGTGACTCAAAGTGCTATTCAAGAGGTTTTTCAAGTATATGAGTTTCATGGCCAAAGCATTAACTATTTTTACTATGATGTTTATTTTTGTGTGGAAATAATCTCCCTGGTGTGTGCACACAAGTCTTACTTGAAATAAATTTACTGATACAAATTCTTTACTGTGTATTTCTTTGGAGACCTCACTGAATACTGTCTTTTATCCTGTCACCATTAGCCTCTGCAGATCTTGGTCTGCCAAGTCTCTTCTTGCCACATATCTTGCACACTGCTCTAAGAGATAATATTTCTAAAACCCAAATCTGTCACAACGCTGCTTAAAAAACAGTGGATTTTGAGCTTTAAAAAAATATATGTAGAATTCTTTCTTCAAAAGAGTTGTTTCACTGAAATGTAGAAGCTGGAGGGGTAAAGCAGGTTATGACAGTGCTGCCAAGGTGGAGTCCCCCAAGGCTCCTCCTAAATCCCTAAAGGGATTTCATAGAATATAGTTGTTTATAAACCACTTTTATTTAGATTAAAGATTAAACTGTTTATGATAGAGTAGAGGCTCCATGAGGCGGCACCATGCTTACCCTATACTCACTCAGCACTGTTGAGTAGAACTGCAGTGAGGGATGGAATGTTCTCTTCGTTGTCAGACATGGTGGACTCTAGATAAATTGGGGTTATTAAGTACTTCAAATTAAATTAAGAACTGAATTTCTAATTACACGTAATGTTAATTTAAATAGGCACATGTCTAGCAACTGGTGTCTTGGACAGTTCATCCTATCAGATAACCCAGTCCTGCTTGTAGAACAGTCACCTACTCACTTGCTCTGGGCCTTTCTTTATATTATTCTCAGTCTGGAATACCCTCTCCTTTTTCCTTGGAAATATGACTTACCCTTTAGGTTCCTTTCAAATGTGTTCCTTTTTCCAACCCCTGTAAGCAGAGATAATTCTCTCTTCCTACTTTTTTTCCCCTTGATCTTGGTACTTTTGCTAGGAGTTTAGTGCACTAATTATTCATTCATGGGTTAAATTAGATAATTAGAATAGAAATTCTCTAAGGAAAGGAGATTTATTTAATTATTAACTTTCTTCCCTCAAGTATCAAGTATAGTGCCTAGTACACAGTAAAAATTCAATAAATACTGGTGTGCATAAGAATAACTGAACCCAAATAGGACTATTGTAGGCATCCATGTTACAGCATCAAAAGTATCTACTTAATTTCAATTATTTGTCTCACTGTCTCCTTATATTGAAAAAAGGAATTCTAACACTAAAGTATAAACAGCTACACTGAATTTAATAACCATTTAGTCCAGGGATAATTCTTGATTGGTTAGTATTTTTAAGACCATTTATAATATCAGGTTACCAGTATCAGTTATTTTCAAGAATGGCAGGATCTTGGCATATCATGCAGAAGGTCTGTTTTCTGTTAGAGCATTGCCTTGTGAATTGGAGAAACAGTGTTCGTATCATCACAGGTGTGTCTCTGCAGGTGTAGTGGATATAGCTGCATCATGTTCTTTGAAACATTGTATTTTTAAAAAGTAATCCTACAATGAGACCTGCTGAACTTAGAAATATGGGCAGGAAATACACCAGAATGCAACTTGGAAAAATGGAAGCTAATAAATCTGTCCTACACCTCGACTTCATTAAAAGGGAGCCCCTTTTTTAATTTAATACCATCTTTTCTGGCTGCATTTTGATACTTGATGCTTTTCAGGGGATTTGGACCTTTTGTAAGAGTTGAGCCTTTCAGAGTTCTTGTTTGTGGCACCATAATAAAATGGGATATATTAACTTATCATGATGGAAAACTAGAAACTTATCTGGAAACACCAACTATTAAGGTAAAATGAGCTGCCATTTGGAAGATGTCCTCACCACTGTGTTTGATGGAATCGAGGACTAAGAGCTTCAAAATGATGAGTTAGATTTTGAAGACTGAGTCCTTAACTTCTCTCCTCCTTTCTCTCTTTTGCTGACTCACTTTATATGATTTTACTGGGCAAAGAAATAAGTAAAAGGCAGTCCTGTTATTTTGATACTTGTTCTCACCCTCAGCAAAATATTAGAGGGAAGCCTGTAATGTGCCAGATAATGGAAGAAGTGTATTGAAAATCCATTTTCCATGCTGGTTCTTGGTTTCTTTTCTTTTCTTTTTTTTTTTAACTTGACTCCTGTCAAGCAGCTTATTCTGAGTAGGGTTGAGGTTGCTGGCCTTCTGTTTCAACTTCACCTTGAGTATTTTATATAGTAGGGTTCTAAGTAGCATTTAATTGGAGAAGGGACTTCACAGCTTAAACACACCACCACATTCAGTTTGACTAACAGCTCTACTGCGTAAGCCTTCCTCTAACCTTGGCAAGTTACATAAACTTTCTGAGCTATACGTTTTTTTGGCTCTACATTGAAATATAAGTGTCTACTTTAAAGGATTACTCAGTGAATGAAAGTGACAGAGTAAGTAAAGCCTTTACCAAAGTGCCTGGCACATATGGGCACACATCCATTTCTCCCTCCGCAATGCAACTAATCATTACTATCTATTAGTAATAGTTATTAGTGATGCTAATGGTTAGGCAGGTACATACAATGGAAACAAAACTCTAAACCAAAAGTTACCAGACTTCATCTAAAAGGCCAGTTTTTTAAATGTAAAAACCATTTGTAGCCAGCACAGACCATACTATCGTACTTAGATAACTGGTACAGCCTTCCAGGGCCAACGTATTCGCTTGCTTTTAAGACACCTTGTTTGGGAGTAGTTGTCATATATGGTATAGCTCCTATTACTCTATAAGGCTGCTGTTGTTTTTCCATATTACTTCTAATCATGGATGACTATTTGCTTGCAGATCCAGGAAGGCTAGAAAGTGTATTTTAAAAGTCTGTCTCCAGCTATAGATTCTGGTGTGAGGAAGAGCAGTTATCTGCCTTCAACTCCCTCCCCTGACAAACCTGCTGGGCCTGGCCAGAGATCTGAGGGAATCTGTATTTGAATATTTAATTGATTCCAAATGTCCTATTCAACACTGAAGAGAGAACATGTTACTAATCACACTTCAGGAGCTTGGCCCCCACGACAGCTTCAAATGTTTCACAAACCTTTTCTGGGCAATGGGGAGTTAAATTAGTTACAGGTTAACATGGAGAAAGGTAGTTTATTCCTAGAGGAAACTAAGATGGAATGCTCAGTTTTATGCAGTTAGTAAGGAAAAGTTTTTCTAAGCCAGATGTGTAATCAAAGTGCTGTGGAAGCACTTTTAAGCAACTACCATCTAACAGATTTGCTATAATAACTGATTCTACATTCTTTTATTCTAAAAAAAAAAAAAAAAAAAAAAAAACTAATCCACATAGCATGTGAAATTTCTAGGCTGATAGGCTTTCCTCTAGCACACAACAGCCCTTCTGCTCTCTCTTGTTCTATTATATACTTAAGAGTGAGTTGCGTACCATTCATTATTCACTTAGCAAATATTTATTGAGGACCTATTATGTAACCAGGCATTATTCTACTTCTGGGGATGCAGGAGGCAACAAAGAAAACCCAGCCCAATTTTTGCATGCATGTGTCAACTGTGTTGGTTAATCACATTACAAATTATTAATCATACTGCAAATCAATGAAATATGAATACAAATATAATTTATATGAAAAGTAAAAAAGTCACTTTGTAAAAACTAAATGAAGGCAAGTTACTAAAAATTTACTGTTGACTAAAGTTTCAAAACTACCAAGTACTAAAAATAAAGACAAAAATATAAAAGGAATCTGTAGTTAGTGCTTTGCAAGTTACTTTAAATTTTGAGTCTATTTTAAGGACAAAAAAGCTAGAAATCCGACTCTGCTATTTAAGTGAGTACAGGAATACTTCAGAGATACTTCTTGTGTTGTTCCAGATCACCACTATAAAGCAACTATGACAATAAAGTGAGTTACACAAACTCTTTTGTTTCTCCATGCATATAAAAGTTATGTTTATACTATACATAATATATACTATACCTATTATACGTAATATACTATACATAATATACTATAATACGCCTATTGTCTATTAGGTGTGTAAGAACATTATGTCTAAAAACAATGTACATACCTTGATTTAAAAATAAATTTTTGCCAAAAAACCTCTAACAATTATCTGAGCCTTCAATGAGTCATTATCTTTTTTCGGGTGGAGGGTCTCACCTCGATGTTGAAGGCTGCTGACTGATCAGAGTGGTGGCTGCTGAATGCTGGGTTGGCTGGAGCAATGTCTGAAAAACAACAACAATGCAAGTTGCCAAATTGACACACTCTTCCTTCCAGGAAAGATTTATCTGTAGCATGCGGTGCTATTTACCCACAGTTGAACTTTCAAAATTGAAGTCAGTACTATCAAACCCTGTTGCTCAGCCTTATCAACTAAGTTTATGTAGTATTCCAAATCCTTTGTTGTCATTTCGGAAATGTTCACAGCCTCTACAACAGGAGTAGATTCCATCTACAAAAACCACTTTCTTTGCTCATCCATAAGAAACAATTCCTTGTCGCTTCAAGTTTTATCATGAGATTGCAGCAGTTCGCTCACATCTTTAGGCTCTACCACTAACTCTCTGGCTATTTTTACCTCATCTCTGTTTACTTCCTCCAGAGAAATTTTGATCCCTGAAAGTCATCCATGAGGGTTGGACTCAAATTTTTTCAAACTTCTGTTAATGTTATTTTGACCTCCTCCTATGAATTACGAATGTTCATAATGGCATCTAGAATGGTAAATACTTTTCCAGAAAATTTTCA